TGCTGATGTTGAGCAGTAGGTTGTTTTCTGTGCACCACTCTGCAAGATGAACTGATTGATCTGAGACTGAGACTGACAGGAGCCCAACCTTTGCAGAAATAACACGGTGAAGATTCAGTGGGTTCAGCCATCTGTAAAATCAAAAGCAGCTCCTCTAAGCAGCTTATGTGTTCACTGTTACAGGGTTACATAACCAGCTGACATGGTAACCTCTGTGGAAGCACTTCTGAGGAAAGTTAATTTCTTCTGCAACGACTTACAAACACGAGCCATGAGTCTTTATAATAAGGTTTTAATTGGAACTGCACACACACACATCAGTCATATTCTGCAGCGTCTGTGCTGCTTTGTAAACGATAAAAAGGACACCACAATAAACAATAGCTGCACATTATCTCGGAGTCAGCAGTGTTTTTGGATTGAGATCTCTCCCTTCAACAGTGCCAGACCTGCCAGGTGTTTTTATATGAAACATATGAGGTTTTAACCTGGAATCTGGACGGGATTACTGTTTGCCAAACTCCTGTCTTTGCTGCCTTTTCACTCACATTGTGGAGTTCAACAAGCATAAAAACAGCAGTGACAGAGATCCTCTTTCAGTAATACTTAAGGGCGGAGATGATGCGTGTCGGCAGTGCTGAAATTCACATTTGTACAGTGTTGACTCACTGTATTCTGTATTTAGTCTGTACTGACTGATATGAGTTATTTCCTTTGTCCCCTTCTGTTCTATTCTTCAGAGTAAATCTGTTGCCCAGACTTGAACCCTTTTTTTTAAAACCTACTTTTACATTTAAAGGTATAAATCAGCCATCAGAGATTGCTGTGTTGCACCTGCTGTGAGGAGATCCCAGATCAGTGGTCTCAAAGTCCTCCACCCCCCTCCCTCCAGCCTGCAACATCATATGATATAATATAATATAATATTATATAATCCGGCCTGCAAGATTTCATATTAGTTAAAACTCCCCCTTCATATACAGTTCAAATTAAAACACAAATGTCAGGTCTGCAAACAGTTAATAAGAAGAGAGCTGGTTTCAGGACTTTATTTGTTGTTTGGCTGCGAACAACAAAGATGATATAAAAATCGATAGAAACTTTTGTTTGCATTTTGTTTTTGTTAAGTATGATGTTATTAATGGAAATATTTTCACTATATTCTACTTTCTTTGCAGTGCTTGAACCTTGAAGTGGCCCTCCTGTGTGTGAGACCCCTGTTCAGAGCCAGAGGTGAGCAAACACAGTATACTGAAGTACGTCTGTCTACTGGGAGAACAATGGGGTTTTTTTTCAGTTTAGTTCTTTTTTCAATTTCCTATTATGCCATCACTATTTTTATTAATTATAAATATGTTAATTGATACTGCAGATATTTTAAAAATCAGCTTTTTATGAATTAAAATGACAGAATAAGAGTAAAATGTAAGGATTTCTTTAGGATGAATAATTGTCTCTGATTGGCTGCTCCTGCTCTGAACATAGATCAATCATGTGATCACTTGCTGCTCAGAAACTGTTTTGCAAGTTCAGAGTTCAGATAATTCTTGAGTGTAATTATAGCTGAAAAAGAACATTTTGTTAGACTTATAAAGGCCTTCATTGTATCTGTAACTGTAACGTTTAACAGAATTGATTTGTCCATCATATGTTTTAGCAAGGTATGTTGTTGTTGTGTTTTTTGGCACACTAGCAGCTCTGTGAATGTCAGTGTCAGTCCGTCTGTCCGTCTGTCGACCACTTTGGTTCAGACTAAAATAACTCAAAAGCTACAGGATGGACTGACAAACATTGATGGTGTCCAGTGGGTGAATCCCAGTGATTTATCCTCCAGAAATCTCTGTGTGTAGAGAGAGGTGACACACAGGAAACACAGCTAAAGTTAGCCAGATTTAGAGAAGCTGACTGTCTGTAACTCAGTCAGCAACATTTCAAACAGCAGCAACTGGAAAATGTTTGCATTGCATCATAAACATGTGGCGGAGCGGCACCCAGCCACTCATATACTAATTATCCTTTGGTAATACTCTGACTTTAGCACCTGTGTGAGGTCGACATTCGTGGTTCTGGAGTGAAATATCTCAGCAACTATTGGTTGGATTGCCATTAAATCTGATGCAGACGTTCATGTTTCCCCTCAGGATGAACTGTAATTAGGTTAATACGTCTGTTTAATGCTCACTTGCATGTAAGCACACTGATAGCATGTAGCTCAAAGCCCAGAGCTGCTAGGTACTCTACATGCACTGTTGCCTTTGTTAGTTTGTTCCTTCAGACGGATGATGATTCCAGGAAGCGGTGACATTCACTATCAGGCGTGTAAGAAGGAACGAGAAAGACAAAATAAAGAAAGAGGAAAAAAGCTGAAGTGATTCATCTGGTTTAAGTATTCTCAGGAATTGGGAGGTACACACAAACACACACACAAACACACAAACACAACACACACACACACACACACACACATAATCCACACTTCTTAGTGAACTCCTTGTAGTTGCTGCTGCCAACATTAGTCAGTGTGATGGAAATCGCCCCAGCATGGAGATAGCCAGCGGGGCTGCGGTGTCGCACTGTTACTGGAATTCTTCATAAAGCTTCAACACTCTGGTGACAAATATCAGAAACCAGCAACGGACTTCGGTTCAATATATGTGGAGCGATGTGTCACCTGCTCTACATTTAGGTGTGATGTGATTAACAACTGTGGAAGAAGTATTAAGTAAAAGTCCTGCATTCAAAATCAGAAGTAAAAGTACTTGTTCTGCAGAGAATTGGCCTCTGTGAGAGATATATCAGATATATTTATGATTAGATTGTTAATATTGATGCATCTGCTGCTGTAGTACGTAGTTTCATCCACCTCGGGGTCGGGGTCCCCTTCAAGATAAATCTGAGGGGTGATTTGTTGTGTGTGTGTGTGTGTGTGTGTGTGTGTGTGTGTGTGTGTGTGTGTGTGTGTGTGTGTGTGTGTGTGTGTGTGTGTGTGTGTGTGTGTGTGTGTTAAATACATAAGAGTTTTACTTAATACAGCCTCAGACGTTTATTTAAATTAAACTATTTGAGGAGTTCAGACTGGAAATGTACAACTCATGGTCACAAGCAAAAACAGTTCAGGAACCACTGTGTTGATATATAACAATGTGTTGTATTTTATATTAGTTTATCATCTATTTTCTTAATGTAAAAATCTTAATCTGTAAAGTAGCTCATCAGTAAATAAAAGTAGTGGAGTAAATATAGTTTATTTATATAACAGTAGGAGTTTAATGGGTTGATGGGTTTCTTCCTGTTTTAATATCAGTGGAGATTTGATGCTTATCCTAAATATTTTAAGTAAATGCTCCTTTACCCTCCCACAAACAGTGTAGTTATGCAATGTGATAATCAGGAACTGAACAAAATAAACAAAAACAGAAACCTGAGCTACTTTAAGTTCATGTTTCAGATGTAACAGGAGGCCTGCTCCCTCTGGTGGACATTATTACAAAATGTACCTCATAGCGTCGACCTCAGAAAAACATGAGTGAAAGAGAATGAGTGGAAGCAGACCAGGAGGGAAAGTGGGAAATGTATAAAGAAAATAATGTAGATGAGAAGTCACTTAACTATGGGGTGTTTTAAAGTATTTTAAGGGATTATAGGCATGTGTTAAGGGGATTCTTAATATGTAATTCCCCTTTAAAATGAACAAACCCAATGAACACCATCCCCTTATTCATGATTTCATTAACTGGCTCATTAATAATTTTGTAACTGTGGTATTTTGAGGTATTTTAATGGATTACATGCATATTTTTAAGGGATTCTTTGTTAGTTTGCTAAAAAGCTAATTATCAATCATAGTCCCTGGGCAGGTTATAACAAATTATTGCCTAATGTCATCAATGCAGTAACAAGTCCTACAAGAACAATGTAATATAATACATAAGTACATACCAAAAGGGATAGAGATATATAAAAACAGTGAGATTATGAAAAGGCAGTGCCAGAAGTGAGTTTTTACTTTCAGAAGTTAGTTTATTAAATATAAATATTATAACTGAAATCATCTTATTTTACTCTTGCAAGATAAACTTATCATAATCAATTAATCAATAGTATCTCAAAGGGATGGAGACTAAGGCTGAAAGAGAAACACACACACACGCACATTGACTGTGTTAAGATGCACAAAACTAATACAGGAAGTTCATTTTTTTGTTATGCTTTTATTTTGAAATCCCTACTAACCTCTGTCTCTTTGAGGTCTCAGCTGATGTCACCTGGTTGGGCTGAACCAAGTAGTGAGGTGAAGAGAGGGGAGTGGGTGGAGGAGTTTGACTTTCGTTTTGGTATTTATTCAGTGTATTATACATTTAGTTTAATCTATATTACTCACTAGACGTGTGTATTGTGTATAATGTAAATAGTTGTAAGATTTAATTGTAGATATGTGTTTTAAAGCTGTTACACTCTGTAGAGTTGGTAGAGACCACAGGTATGGATGGCAGAGGGGGGGGTCAGGTTGGTTATTACCTCTGCTGCACCTGTAAAACTACTTTTGTTGTCCATCAACCTGCGAGGTGAGAGTCTTTTTGAGTTCCACTGATGTTCGTTTACCACCATCAAACACCAACGCCAACTATAAAAGAGTTTATAGAGGTTTGTTATAGTTTTAAGTTTAATATGTGAAATATTTTAAATGTCATTTCAGTGTTAGCAATCACTAGAGCAATGAGACTGCCTAATAATGCTCCTTAAAAGAGTTATTAGCTACTACTAATAAGATTAGATATGAAATATTAGTTCAGTTGTTGAATAATCAAAAATATTTGAATTGCCAATGGAAAAATCCCCCAAGAAATTATGAAACTAAAATAAAAACAAAATTACATTAAAGATTGGAACAAGCTAGTGTAATTTTATTGTGAAAAACTGAATAAATGCCTAATAGCATCATTAATATGTTGAAATAAAAGCAAAAAGGGAAAGATATGAAAAGATAAACCCAACAAACTTTTATTTTTCTTTATAAACAAACAGTACATTCTGGTATCAATGGTATAAAAAATGTGAACTAAACAAAAATATTTTGCTAATTGAAAGCTGATTGCGCAAAAAGAATAATAAATCAATCTAAATACAAAACAACAGATTGCAAACAGCATCATTAATGAAGGAGATAATTAGTTAAGTATCTTTAGTGAAAAGAGGAGGCTGTGGGTGCATCTGCTCCTCCTGCAGGGGCTCTGGGAGCGGGGGTGGTTGGAGGGTGAAGAAGACCGGTCCCCGATCCTGAAACATTAAACACAAACACACGGTTAAAGTAGGAAGGGTTTCCAATACAGATGGTCTTAAAAGTACTCAGGGATAACTCACAGCAGCAGCCTCTGGTGGAGGAGGGTAATGCAACGCACCCAGGTGAAAGTGGGGGAACATTAAAGGTCCAAAGAGGCCGTCGTTGTAAAGGCCGGCAGGTACGGGTGGCAACAGGGGCATGTTGAGCAGGAGGTTGGGACACGGCACGCGGCAGCTGGGGTAACGGCCTGACATCGTAAATGGGAAGTGAATAATGGGCGGAGGAGCAGTGTGGGTAAATTCACTGAGGCGAGGGGCATCTGGAAGGGAAGGGAAGACAATTATATGGTAATTCACTCATTTATATAGCTGGTGTTTCATATTCTTACATTCAAGCCATGATTTAGTCTAAAAAAGGCAACGTGATAACATTATTGGGCTGCAACTAACAGGTGTTTTCATTCTTTATTCACCAATTAATAGTTTGTATATGAAAGGAAAGAGAGCTCGTGGTGACATCAAATTGTTTGTTAAAAAAATAAATATTTCATTAACTACAAAGAAAACCTTCACATTTAAGAAGCTCTAACTAGAAAATGTTAAAAGTTACTGCAACTTATCATAATCCAACTGTTTCAGATCAGATTATATTTTAATTATTAAAATAATAATTAAGTTATATTACATAACGTTGTTTTCATTATTATCTCATATCTTAGTTTTATTAATTTGTTTATTATGAAATGTTGTTCTTGTTATTAATTTGATTTATTTTCACTTTAAACTCAATGCAGCTCAAATATTATAAATCATTGTACAAGCATTTATTATTATTATTATTATTATTACTATCTAAATCTAATTTATGGATTTATAAACAATTATGGTGCTTTTATTTTTTAGAAAAAATAAATATTATTATAATATAAAGATTATAAATAAATATTTATTTAATTATTATTTTATTTTTTAAAGGTCTGCTAAGCAAACGGCTCCTTTTTCGCGCCACTCTGGCCCCACTGTGTGCGCGCGTGTGTGCGCGTGTCTCCTGCCAGCTGCTCAACTGCTGGCGCATAGCCGTTGGTGACGTCATCCCCAACGTTCGGCCGTTAGTTTTTTCTTTCGGATAAATTGCAATAAAAGTAATCTAATGTTATATGAGTGAACTTATCTGGTCTTTAACAAGTTAAACGTTTGAAAACGCAAGTTACAAAATTGTTAATTTAGCTAAATAGAAAATCCAAAAATTGTGCTCATTAGGCAGAATAACGTCTGTAATGATCCGTCAGCCATTTTGTTTTTGTGTTTTATGCTCGACGTGGAGCCGTTGTTGTTTAGCCGTTGAGGTTAGCTAACGTTAGTTCTGCTCAACGGAAATCTAACGTTCATCTATTTATTTAATAACTTTATCAGTGTAACTTGGAGGATTTCAAGTTGTTTTAATTCAGTGAGTTCAACATATTAAACACATTATAGTTAGAATAATGTCATTTAAACAGGGTTAGGAGGGTTAAAATGTAATCTGAGACAGTTACTAATTAAAACAAAAACGTACTCAGTATCACAGTAATAAAGTAACGTAACTTAATTACTTCCCGGTACTTTTGGATTACATCAACACCAAATATGCAAATAAAAACAAGATTAATAAATATCAATAAGTATTGATGACAATGTAACATTAGAAAACAAAGAGAACAGAGACTTCAGCTCGGTGTTTTTATAGAAAAACTGATGGATTTTAAAATTATAATCCTGCTAAATAATCCCAATTTTTACAAAATGTAATTTTAATTTAATTACGTCTTTTTTTTTATTATCACCAACTGTAATGGATTTTTTTTATTGTAATTGTTGGTCTTTATGTCCCGTCAGCCATTTTGATGTTTGTCTTTTATGCTTTAAGTGGATCCGTTATTATTTTAGGAGGCTAGTTCTGCTAAATGGAAATATTTATCTTATAATAACAACTTCCTCAGTGTAACGTTAGATACTTTTTGGAGTTGTTTCCATCCAGTGAACTTATTATAAACACATTAAAGTTAATATAACTTACATGATGACCCTTCCTCACTGGAAGAGCAAGGCAGCAGTTTCCCGCTGTCCACACCGGCCACAGTGTCTCCTCTGGCGGCAGGTCTGCTCCGGAGGTCGAGAGGGCTCCAGGCGGCGGCAGCGGCATGCTCCGTGGCCCTTCCCGACGGACGAGCGCCTCCACCCGGGTCCGACGCGGTACAAGTCCCCTCAACCGCCGCCGCCGCCTGGTGGTGCTGGTGGTGGTGGTGTCACCGCGCTGACACACTTGGGGGCGCTCGGTCGCTGCTCCTTCTTTTGCGGGTTAGTTTGCGCTTTCTTCAGGTTGCGCTGGAGGGTGGAGATCTGCGTCCGCTGTGTGATCAGGTAGCACTTCCAGCAGTCACACTGGAGGAAAGGACAGTACTTCATGTGGCCTTTCTTCGGGACGATGATCCCATGGTGCCGGCACCGGGTGCACTTTGGCCTGCTCGGTTTCTCGTAGTCGGCCGCTGCTAGTATGTGTTCTTTAGATAAAGACATTGTTCCCAGACACACACAAAAAAAATGCTCTTTATTCTGACTAAATATATGTTCAAGTGTACCCCGCCTGTTGAGCTGGGATTTCCCCCCCCTTTGTGACCCAGACTGAACTTTATAAAATGTATCATCTTCCAGCGTGGGAAAATGTGACTGACATTATTGGCCCATAGCGACCAATGGGAGACCAATCAAGAGCTGAATGTCATTAGTGTTGCTGTATTGTTGCTGTGCTGATTCACACACTGCTGGGACAGGAGGAGTTTTTAGATACTTTTATAATGTTTGTAAAAGTGAGAGTGTTCCCTTAGTAAGGACTAGTAGGTATCATCTAACACCTGGTTCCCAACCTTAATACATACATCTGTTAATCAGTTTTAAGAATATAAAGTGAATATAAAAATGTTAAATTCCTTAAGTAATATAATATAAAAATGAAAAATTGCCCTCGGTGAAATAAATAAATGTAATTTTAACCCTTTAAGATTGCGCCCGTGGTCATATTATACCTCTATTTAACAATGTATGGCAAAAACAAAATTACAAAAATGAAATTGATTTGCATTCCTCCTCCTGTAAAACAAAATATGATGCGCGCAGATTTAACAATTTATGCCAAAAAACTAAAACTCAATTTCTTTGTATTTTTATATCAAAATCTGATTATTTTGTCTTCCTATAAGACAAAATGTGAAGCATGTTTATGTAAGCATTAACCAGAATGTATATCTATATATTTTAATGGCTCTGGTCTCTCGCTGGCTGCTTGTTTTTACAGAAAATATGTAAATATTTGGAAGCAAACATCACTCTGATTTCTGTTTAATGTGGACTTTCAATCAACATTAAACTGCTGCTTACACAGTTACAGTGATAATAATACAAGTATAAGTTTGGACAGGTGCGATTTTGTTTAATGAGAATTACTTTTAATACCTTGAGTACATTTAGCTGTTAATACGTCTGTACTGTAACTAGTACTACTGATGGTAATGGAGTATTTTCACACGATTTTACTACCTTTGGCCCGAGGAACATTATCTTCTTATTAATGTGTTTTTCATAAAGTTATTTAAACCTTTTGTATACAGACTATCAGTGGATGGTTGGAGTTGCAGAGCCACTAGATGTCAGTCTCCTACTGCCTTTACTGGTTCATTAAGCTGAGGGAGATATAACACACATAAAATATTGTCTTTCTCTATGCTGTAATTTGTGCTGCGATATACAGATTAACACTGAATTGAACACTGAATTTTGCAGATTATGAAATAATGCCAGAAAAATTTTGATTTCAAAACAAAAATACCCCTTATAGCACAGATCTCTATCAGTTAAAGACAATAACAGCCCCCCAAAAAACTGTCTATAGTAATCTGTGTTAATTCAAATTAATAGTGTTTAATATAATCTCAAAGACACATTTTAAATCAGATTCAAATGCAACAAATAATGAAGTTGAGAGTAAACATTTTATTTCCATGTTTATTTACATAGCATAAGGTGTTACAATAAAATCCTTGTCACCATTTTATTATAAATACACCATTTAACCAAGGCTTGATAACCCTCATTAAAATACATCCTTCAAACCTTTTTGAAACGTAATAATAAAATGCTTTAATGGATACATCTATTTCATGTTTGCACCTTTATTTTCTTTTAAATGTTAGTAAATCATGCAAAGCAGAAATATAGAGTACGAAAATAAAATGATATAGATTGAATGTGTGGCTTTACAAAGGAGATTTAAAATCATAAGTATATGTGGTGGAAAATACAAATACTGGGTCTGGTGGCAAAGCTTTAAGATCTTTCTCAAAGAAATGTTAAGTAATGGCTTTTAGCATTAGTGCTCTACATATTCATCATATACAGTACATACTTTACATTACAATACTTGTCTGATGGGAAAAAATATTATAATAATATAATGTAAATCTGGTTGACAGTGAAACAAACTTGTTATTATTTTAAAGTTATATTGTGACATACTGTAGTTGGAGTGTAAAAAGGCTTACCTGATAACACAGTAATCATACCATTACGAGTAGCATTGCCCTTGAAATCATGCATCAGTCGGTTTACAGTGAAACCGCTGCACCATCTTATAATACTCAACATCCCATTTAAGTGTTTAAGAGTATTTTGCAGGCACTTACAAAGCATGGTTTAGGCCTTTTTTTAAATATATGTTCAAGATTAGATGCAAGTTTCAATATGGTCCAACTTTTTAAAATAATCTGATGAAATGCAGTATGAGCCATGTGTTTGTGTACTGTTGCATAAAATGATTGATTACAGTGAAGGTCACAAGTCCAAATTAATGCCATGGGTCTCTGGAAGACATCTGGAGCTGACATGAACTGACATATCTGAAACATATAAATTCGACATTGAACAAGAACATTAGACTTTATGACTTCACAGACAAGAAATTGCCACTAAATTGTGATTAAATGTAAATCTTCTCTTAACCTACCTTGTAAAGTGTCCGGAAAGGCTGAGGCTTGTATGTGTTGGTCTTGAGATTGGATGTGTAAAGTCCAGAATTGTCAGATGGTGTTAATGGTGTCGTTATAGGCTACATAATCCTTGCAATTTTGGGATCTTGCTCTTTAAAGGTTGACTTCACAAGGTTAGCATGTTGCTGTAACTCCAAGTTGCATGACAGACAATTAGGAATGGAGCAGATATTGGCAGAGTATATGTGGCAGTGTAGCCCAGCAGAGAAAAGATCTTGAAGCTTGGCGTTCTTAAAGCAGACAATCTTGTAGTTTATTCATGTTCGGGGGGGGACTACTTATTCTGCTCTGCAGAGTGGTTTTATCTTTCTTTTAACTAACCTTTGTTATATTCAGAAATATACACATGTACAGAAAGTTTTCTTTGTACACCTAATTTGGTTCTCCTTAACAATCAGGCTAATGGTAACGTTGTTCCGGTTGTAGTTTAACAAACAATATTGTAAATATAATCTTGTTTTTGGAACAGTAAATGATATTATACTTTAAAAATCCCAAAATAAAATCCAAAGTCATGTATGCTTGGAACTTTTGTGATACATATTGGAAATAATAAACAGCTTTTGCATATGCTGCCTACAGTACGGTAATCAGAAAGTCTGATAAGATAGAATAAACATAACTAAAAGTAAATGTGAAATATACAGTAAACAAAATTATTCAACTTGTAAAAAATTAAATATTAAAAGTCCAGTAACAACCACATGCAGAGCAGAATAAAGGTAGTCCTTATTCCACTGAGAATTAGGCATCTGGTGAACACTGTGGTTTTATAGTGTATTCTTCCCTTTGAAAATCATTCCTTATCTTTCAAACTCATCAGTATCGGCGGCTATAGCTCGGTGAACTGTAGGAAGTGGAAGAGAACGTTGTCGTGAAACTGGATCCAGTGGCATCAAAGCTGCCTCTTCTGGAGCCTGACCTGGAACCACTTCTTGAGCCGGACCGTGACCCAGTAGCGGAGCCTGACCCGCTAATGCTATAGGGACTGTAGAGGCCTTTGCTGGATTGAGATGATGCTTCAAGTAATCGCAGACCAGTTCCCTCCTCTACCATGCTTCTTTCCATAGCATCCTTGTAAGAGATCTTAAGCTTGGTTTTAGGGCACGTGAGGTATTTTGAGTATGCGCTAACATCTCGTAACTTCTGCGCAGTGCGTGCATCTAAGGTGCCCTTCTTCACAGCCTCGTCTATGGAGACTCTGCTGGTAGCCTCTGGTTCAATTAATCCACCAGTGAGATACTGGACCTCGAGGAATCGCTGCCCAGCCTCATAGTAGAGCCAGCCTTTCTTTAGAGCTTGTGCTGCTGACATTTTGGTTTTGGTTCTGGGATCTTCAAATCCATTGCACGCCTTCTGGGCTAGACTGATGCGGTCCACCATGATTTTATCCACAAGCCCTTTGTTCATTGCATCTGCAACAGAGAATTTCTCTCCAGTATTTGGGTCGATAATACCTCCTGTGCAGGCCTGAGCTTCCAGCAGCCTTTGGCCTGTTATATTGTCCACAAGGTTTCTGTGTATGGCTTCTGTGACGGACACCTTCTCCAGAGTGTCTGTGTCTAAGATTCCAGCCACAGGGCCGGTTTCCTCTGTTGGGTCGTTCCATGTTGTTGCTGGTGTTTTTATAGAAGGTATTGGACTCATGGTGTAGGAGGAAGAGGAGCCAAAGGAGGATGAACGTGATCGGACACCGCTCATGTTTCCAGACAGCATGTCTGCAAACTCTGTGATGGACAGAGTTCCCGCACGGTACTGATCCAGAGCTGACTTGTCAATCAGGCCCTTTGAGATTGCATCATCAATGTCATACTGCCGACCAGACCTTCTGTCAATGATCATGGATTTCACAACGCCATCCGATGAGGTGATGGTAATTTCCTCCCATTCACACTCCTGCTCCGCAAGCTCGAGATAGGTCTGGTGGTCAATGAGCCCTTTCTGGTACGCCTCATACACAGACATCTCTTTGCCCGTCTCTGGATCGACAATGACGACCCTACGTTTGCGAACGGAAGACTTGGATGATGTCTTCCTCTCACGCTTCTTTTCTTTCAGCAACAAAAGAGCGAGGCCTGTTTCTGGGTCTGTCATACATCTCTCCATCAGCTGCAGGTAGGTGAGATTTTCCTCAGTGTTGGGGTCAAAGAAGCCCTTTGTGTCATCAGATGGGTCAGTGAGGATTTCATTCATTTCCTCATCGAAGAGGCCACGTTCATATGCTGTTTCAACGGGCAAGCGATGGCTCTCCTGTGGATCAATGATTCCACCAGTAGCAATTTGAGCCTCTAGCAGACGAATGCCGTGGTCTTTCAGAATGAGGCCCTTTTTCATAGCCTGGAACAGTGAGATGATCTTGCCAGAATAAGGATCTTTGTAGCCTGTGACGGCTCTTTCAGCTGAGTGGAGTTTATCTTTAAACTCTTGGCCAACAACACCCATCTTAACAGCTTCAGTGACATTAAGTTTCAGGTTCTTAATGGGATCAATTACATATCCTGTGGCAGCTTGAGCCTCAAGGAGCTCAAAGGCAGTACCTGGTCTGATCATGTTCTTCTTCATTGCTTGGTAAATTGACAGCCGGTCTTTGCTAGATTCTACATACACACCAGCAATACAGCTGGTACCCTCAAGGTATTTCTTCACATCTCTGCTGACCTCCTCCACTGTAATGATGCCCTCAGTGAGTTCGTTGTATGT